AGGTACTTACCTGGCTATGGTGGACGCCATCTTCATCACCTTGTTAGGCGCTGCATCTGGAAGGCCCCAGTTGGGGTAGCGCCTCACCAAGAAGGCTTCAACGTAGAGTCAGGCATGGCGACCTGAATAGCAGTGGACATAGTTGCTTTGTGTTGTCTTTTGCACAGCAGGGCTAGGCCCTTAGTAGTCCGCCATAGCCTCGGCCTGATTGAAGAGGAGGAACGAGGCCATGGCTATGGTGGACCTCTAGTTATGCCTAGCAGTAGAAGAGGGCTTCGGACTTTGATTCTGTTTCAGCCATTCATCATTAATATTATTATTATTATTTATTGTTTGAATGAGAGAGGCGGCGATAAGGACAAGGAGTTGGTTGGCGAGTGAAGAGGGGATTGTCATTGGCCCTTTGCTGGTGTACATCTTCTTCTTCTTCTTCTTCTTTCTTCCTCCTTCTTCTTTATCTCTCCCTTCTCTCAATTTCATTCATTCTTTTGCAGTTGGACGGCATTGTGCTTTCTCATCAATTTTACACTTGCCAAAATTTATACACTGCACTCTGGAAGAAAGTTATCGGTTCAGGTTTCAGCTCGGGAAGCCAGAACTCTTTCCATTTGTCTTTTTCGACAGACCGTGGGTCATTAGTCTGACAGTATCCCACCTGGTTTTCTGTCCAGATACATGTACTGGAGCCAGGCCCATTTTTGGGCTTCTACCTCGGACAACGTTGGCGCTCTGACTTCACGAGTTGAAATCTGAACCCAACCCATAACGTTTTTCTAGACTGTAGCGCTCTGGAAGAAACCTATATGTCTCTGCAAACTTGTGCAAAGCCTCCACACGAACATACATTTGCCGGGCCTGTGGCTGAAGTAGAGGACAGTATCGGAGCGGATCAGTGTGATATGTCCATCGGATCAAACGGCACTAAATCAATCTTTTTGCGGGGAAAACTCACGTCCTCTACCAAATTTCGAATTGGGAAAAAAAATGAAGAAAAAGAATCGAGATGCAGCCAATCTTGGCTGCTGATGTACCAAGATTGGCGGCCTGGATCAACTGCCTCAAATTTGTCTAGCACAGGGTCTACTAGCCCACTCTACCTTTTTTTTCCAGCGCCCGTGCCCTCCGCAAGGCTGCAGGAAGAAGCCAGGCCATTTTTTTTGTCGAATTTTGGCCCCAGCCAAAAATTGCACTGGGGGTGACCGGGGGCCGACCGGAACGGCTGACCGGCCGGTCCAACCGGGAGACTCCCGGCCGGGGAAGGGGTCCCCGGTTCATCCAGCAACCAGCACTAACCAGAGATCAGATCACTATAGCTGACTTCTTTTTTTCGGGAGCTTTTTGATGATCGATCTCTCAAAGTCAAAGGAAGCTTTCGTAATGTTCTCAAAATTCAGGAAAAAAACAAAGCACATAGCCTCGCCAGCTAGAAAAAAACATTAATAAATGACACCTGTTCTATTTTTCCAAAGATCTCCTGGCATTATAGGCACTACTGACCGACCAACCGATCAACCGACGGCCAAACAGACAGACAGGCAGACACAGACAGACAGACAGACAGACCAACCGAACGGCAGACAGACAGACAGTGGGGAGAAAGGACTGATTGAAGGTCTATGACTTGCTTCAGTTACACAGCATGAGTGTACTCCAATTTTCTTGAAGGTGGGACCTATTGGAGTCTGTCGCTCACCATGACCTTGTTAAAACCCCCAAAAAAAAGCAATGTGAGAAACATAGAAATCACTAAAGATCTCAAGAGACAGGCCTCCCCGCAAAAGGAGAACACCGAGATACCGGATAGAAAGAAAATAAGAAAGAACAGCTCAACTGATAAGGGGAGCACCCCCACTGACACGGAGCGCACAAGCAGCCCCGAAGATCTCGGACCCCACCCCGATAACAGGTCAGGACTGTACTCACAAAGGAATGGACATATCTCCCTCCAAGAGCGACAGAGTAGGCAAACCAAAAGAACAGGGAGACTCCCCCATTGCCTGGCTGCAGGAATATCTGGAAAGAGCCAAAAATGAGAGGGAGAAAGAATTCGACATCAGAATGGCATGCGAGAAGACAGGCCGGAGCAGCAAAGGCCCGGTAGTAGGCATCCACGCATCCACGAACACCTACGACGTCCTGAGAGAACAGAGCGAGTTGTCAGAATTCAGCGCCTTCAGATATCATGAGAAAAAGAGGGAAAGAGACAACTCGAGCTCGGAGTCCGGCGCCAGTGCAGAAACTCAGGTCCACAAGGACCCAATCAGAGACATGATACCAAAGAAGTGGAAGCCCTCAAAGGCAGGGGCAAGAGACCCAGAAAATCCATGACAGACACGATAGGAAATGGCAATGAGCAGCGATCCCTCAAACAGGAGATTGCCATCGTCGCCGCTCAAACAAAGTGCCTGTTTGATCAGAACGCGGAATACCGAAAAAGCCACAAAAAAGAGTACTGCACCATCCAAAACGTGGCAGACAACAAGGCCCCCCATGTCACGGAGAAAGCTACCTCAGATCGCAAAACTATCAAGCCAGTTAGACCCTTGGCCCCCATCCGATACAGAAAGAAGTTCGGGGAGTGGCAGGTAGCCACAGACGTATCCTTCGCCTTCCCGACCACGGGAGACCATCGAACACTGGCGAGAGCAATCAGGGAAGGTATATCCAAAGACTCCCCCCTAGGTGTCTACGAAATCCCCGTCCCCCTCGGGGAAGACTCGAACAAGATCGACCAGGAACTCGTCACAGCCAGATCTTTTGAACCATTCATTGTAAAATTAGAAGAAAAAGCGGGGCTGCACGAGGAGCTGGTGTGGAGAGCATGGAACACCGTGACCGCCCTGCCATACAGCACACTTGTAGGCAAGATGTGCCCGGCAGAGGTCATGGCCGATTCCCTGGCAGATCCCACATCCTATCCACAGAACACTCCCTACAGGACGGAGTTGTGCCACTGTACCCTGGAACCGGAGGATGAGGACAGGCACATGAGGGAGTACAACGACGACGACGCGCTGAACGACAAGATATCCTCGGGCTGTGACGGGATAGGTACCACCCCAGCACCCGAGGGCAGCATGGGATCCGCCGTCGGGAGAAGGGCAAACGACGGCAGCGGTCGAACCGGAGGAATCGGAGCTGACAGCGCAGGAACCACGGCAGCGGCTGATTAGAGACCCCCCCCCCCAACTAACTCCGCACAATAACCGTCACCCCAAAGAAAATAAAACAAGAAAAGTTGCATACAGCAACCCGTCAGACGTAATCGAATGGACAACAACGAAAATCAGCATGGGCAGTGAGAACGGACTGGCAAGCAAGAGGGCTGACGATCCACAACTGGAACGTCAACGGACTGGGCAACATTCTCACCGAAGACAACAAACTGCGAGACATCAGACTCGGCCTCACAGAAAAAAGAAAGGCCTAACCCGACATCGTTCTCCTACAAGAGACCCACCTATCCAACCTCACTAACCACACCAGAATAAACAGGACTGTAGAGAAAAGCCTAGGGGGATGCCCTTTCCCACTATGGTCCAACAAAGCGGACCAAAGCAACCGCCAGCAATCCTCATACCAACTACTTCCAAAATATGGTTTGAGGGTAAGTAACGGGGAAGGAGACACAGCAGAAGGGAGATGGTCGTGGATCCAAATCACATGGCAAGGGGAAGAGATCAGAATCCTAAACCTATACGCCCCCAACACGAAAGCCGAACGCCTAGCTTTCTTCGACCACATCAAATCACTTTTCCCGACCCCCCTATCGCTAATTATAGCAGGCGACTGGAACACTACGATGGACCCCAGCCTGGATCGCATTTCTCGGGCAGTGTTGTTGGGGCCCACACGAGCAAGCACTCACCTACGGAACATCATGACGGAGTTCGACCTGGTCGACCCATTCCGAATCCTCCACCCACGCAAGAAAGCCTTCTCCCTAGTCAAGAGGAACCGATCTAACCACACATCACTATAACAAATCTATTTCTTCCTAATTTCGGACATGCTGCACGGAGCAATAAAGGAAGTCGGTATCCTACCAGCAGCAGCCTTTAAGGGGCTCGACCACAAACCAACCTACTTGCTCCTCAACTTCAACTCTCCAGTAGAAAAAGGACAAGGCTTCTTTAGACTCAACAACTCACTCCTATCCACTGAACACATGACCGAGGCAGTCAAATGGAACTGGTGGTTCATGCAGCAAGACGAGAAGAAACTCCAGGACAGGCACAAATGGTTCATAGACAGCTACATGGACCTGTTTCAGACGGTCTCAACAGAGTCTAGAAGCATAGCAGCAAAAAGAACTACAAATCTTACTCGACATCGCAGAAACCAACCTAGCATCAGATCCCTCCAACTCCTACCATGACTTACTCCAATCTACCAAGGACAAACTAAATGAATGGAGAAGATGGGAACTCAGAGGCCTACAGATACGCGCCCGTATGAATTACTACATCCTGAATGAATCCATGTCCACATTCTTTTTTTCCATGATCAAGGCTAACACAAGGAACAACACAATCGAGGGGTTGAAGGACCCAGCAAACCAGGGGACGACAAAGTCAGCCGTCGCAGACATGGTAAGAATAGCCAGGTCCTTTTACGCCGACCTCTACGAGTCCAACCCCCACTCCCCCCCCCCCCCCCCCCCCCAAAAAAAAAAACCCCCCCCCCCCCCCCCCCCCTCTCTCTCCCTTTCCCCCTCCCTCTCTCTCTCCCTCTCTCTCTCTCTCTCTCTCTCTCTCTCTCTCTCTCCCCCCCCCCCCCCCCAACAGCAAACATCAAAGCCCGTCACATGATGACCTACCTAGAGAGAACGATTACCCAAGACCAAACGGAAGACTTGGACAAACCAATCACCATAGGGGAACTTCACGAAGCCTTATCCCAAATGGGAAATGACAAAGCACCAAGAATTGATGGTCTGTCCAAAGAATTCGAAATCCAGTTTTGGCCTACATTGGGCAACGACCTCTTGAACTTCATCAACGGCGGCAAGGAAAAGACAAGCCTGGGTCAATTTCTAAGCACCAGCGTAGTGTCACTAATATACAAAAAGGGAGACAAGGAGAACCTCAAGAACTACAGACCAATCTCACTTCTCACAACGCCGTACAAAATCCTAGCAAAGGCATTAGCCAACAGAATCATAAAACTAACAGACAATTGCTTTCACATCAACCAAGCAGGATTCATCCAGGGTCGATACATTCTGGATAATGTGATGGCTCTAAACAAGGCGGCTAAGAAGATCACGGAAAAACGAATGCAAGTGGCAATCTTATTCTTCAACTTTGAAAAGGCGTACGATCAAGTCAATTGGGACTTTCTCCACAACTGCACGGAGAAGATGGGAGTTGGCCCAAACTTTAGAGAGTGGGTGAGAGTACTCTACGGGGATGCCACGGGCAGGGTGCAGATAAATAGAATATTGTCAGAAACCTACCCGATATCGAGATCGGTCCAGCAAGGTGACCCCCTCTCACCCCCGATATTCTTGTTCATAATGGAAGCCATCGCATCGTTCCTACGCAAGAACCCATCCATAGATCGCCTGACCGAACAGAACAGCAACCCCCTCCACGACTTTGCTCTCCCCACCGCACAGATGTTCGCAGACGATCTCACGGTCCTCATCCTCGCCAACAACTCCTCTTTCCAGGCCTTGGCCCACGCCATGGAAGCCTTCAGACTCGCCTCAGAAATGAAGGTCAACTGGCTGAAAACGGAAGGGTGGTGGCTCGCAGAAGGCACCCCCCCCCCAACCGGTGGGTGTGGTGGGGGGTTGAGTGGGAGTCACTGGGTTTGCTTTCCTTGCTGGTCTCCCCGATTTGATTGTCCACTCCTTTGCCATGATCCAGAACACGCCACTCATGTTTGGTGGGGTCGCTACTGGTGCCAGACTCCTTATGCTGTCTCTCGCCATCGTGGTCCACGGGAGGGCTTGTTTGGTTAGGATTTTGATTATCCATTTCATTTGGAGGGCGATTGCTTCTTGTTTAGGGTCAATTATACCTAGCCCTCGGTCCTGTGGTTTCCTGATGACCGTTTGCCAGGCCACCTTGTTTATACAGGTGGTTCTGTTGGGGTCGCCAATCCACAGATAACACTTGGCTCTAGCCTTCAACTTCTTCAGGTCGTCGTCGGGGGCCCACCATATGGAGGCCATGTACCACAAGGTGGAAAATACTGTTGTGTTGATGATCAGGGCTCTCCCTAGTAGGGAGGCCTAGGCTTTGCTGCATGGCTAAACGGGTTACCATAATGCCAAGATAGTGAAGTGCTTGATCGCCCGTAGTCCAGGACGTTGGGGTGGATGGGTCTGGTCTCCGATCCTAAAGACCTGGTGCCGACTGATGCCAGACAAGAAAGGGTTCCCGAGCAACAAAGAGGAAGTCCTACGACAACCCCTGTTCTGAAATCCCTAGATCAAAGACACAGAGGGCAGACCATGGACTCTCCGAGCTAAAGACCGCAAATGGTTGTCATGGGTGGAGAGAGGAGTATGGCAGGTCAAACATCTGTGGTCCGAAGACCGACAAGAATGGCTCACCGCACAGGACCTTCGCACTCCCTTAAAAGGGTGCCACCTACTGACCACCAACCTGTCATAAATCCTCCAAAGCATTCCTCCCCCATGGAAGACCCTAGAGACACATACGTGGAAACCAGGAGACTGGGTACTACTCGTCACACAGACCCCACCAACGAAAGCCTACCGCTTTGGGTCAAAACCGGACTCAACTACCTACCAGGCCAAATTCGTATCCTACCCCATCATTAAACACATCCTATATGAACTAGAGATCCTAAACTAAACACCACAGAACGAACAAATAGAAACCTAACTTCTCTGGAAGGTTGGTCTATATTCCAGCCGGATCTTAGCATCAACGAGCTGGAATTTGACCCAAAGGAATGGATCTGGGATCTGGACACCGCAGGTAAATCGAGAACGATAACAGAGTACAATGTAAAGTTCGGGTATAACCTCGGACTACAAACGAGGGAGCCGAACCCAAGGCTGACAAAGAAATGGAGAACCATACTGAACCTAGATACCACGACCCCCATCACCATCACATGGCCCAAATGCCTCCTCATCAGACCAATTAGAATCTGAAGCATGCAATGGCTAATAGCACATGCAGCCCTGCCAGTCAACCAATGGTTACACGAGAGAAGGAAACACTCTGATCCGCATAGCGCGGCATGTTGCTCAATGTGCAGCAACGACTCACCCGAAGACATTCCCCACTGCCTCCTATTCTGCCCTGGAGCAACCTGGATATGGAAGAAGATCCGCGAGCTATGGTCGATCCTGTTCGCTGCGCCCCCCCCTAACATCCCCCCTATCTCTATCCTACTTCTAACTAACATCCCCAACAACATCACAGGCAGCAGGGAAGCATGGTTCACCCTACTCAGGAAGCTGGCATTGTGGGTGATATGGAAATGCAGATGCACTCAGACAATCGAGGGAACAGAGGTGGCAAGAAGAAATGTGGTCACTACTGCTGAGCATGGCAGAGACAGAAATCAGGAGCAGATGGCGGAGAATAGCAAACCCTGCGAGACACAGACCAGAAGGACAAGCAATCAAGAAACGGACATTCATAAGAAACTGGCTGCTAAAGGGCAAGGTGGCAACGATAGTAGACAACAGACTGAGGTGGAAGAAATGGCACCAGGCTTAATCATGAAGACCACGAGGGTACCTGTCGGGCGACCTGGCAGAAGGTTCTGAATGGGGATCAACAAAAAGAGGACCGGACACACAGGGAAGGACAAGGACAAGCAACAGAAAACAGAGTGGACCCCCCACTGTTCTCGTATTACAGGAACTCATTTGACAGGCTCTAAATAGAAGCCTAAGAGGAACAAAGGGTCAGGGCGAGCTGACAGTCAATCCTCCTTAGAAGGAGCAATCAATGCTGATCAGGGGTCCTTCGGCCCGACGGAAGGAAGCGTTGAGTGGGTAATATGATGTAATCCGTTTTTTTTTTGAAAAAAAAAAAAAAAAAAAAAAAAAAGGAAAGAAGTGAAAGAGAGAAAAGAAGAGAAATCACTAAAGATCACATGCACGCACGTCGCACACATGTGTGTTGTAGATTATGTCCATAACAGCAGCAACCGTGTTCCATGAGTAGACCCCAAATTGAAGCAGCTTTACCTCGATTGCAGACAATGAACCACACTTGAGATCAGCCAATCCAACAACGAAACAGTTTTGCCTCTATAGCACAAAAGTGTGTATGCATGCACATTGCACACACACACACACACACACATGCACACACACACACACACACACACACACACACAC